CCTGCTGGAAATTTGGGTTCATGGCTAGTGAGTGGGAAACCTTCACATCCAAGGCTTCAGGGAGCTGGCTCCAGAATGCAAAAGCCTTATCAGAAATAGCTTCGCTGTTTTCAGGTAGCAGTTTGTCAGTAGTGAAAAGTCAGGTGAGCCCACGATTTTTTCCCTTGTCTCAGCTCAGCCTCCCCCTCTGGCTCCACCCACCACGTGGACCACTGAGAAGATGAAGGAATTCAAAGCCAGGATGGGAAAGGAGAAGAATGGCCGGATGGTGGTGAAGCGAGGCGAGGTGGTGACAGTCCGCGTGCCAACCCATCCTGACGGGAAATGCATTTGCTGGGAATTTGCTACAGATGACTACGACATTGGGTTTGGAATCTATTTTGACTGGACCACAGTTACTAGCACTGCCATTACTGTTCAGGTCAGCGAATCCAGTGATGAGGAAGATGAAGAGGAGGAGGAGGAAATTGAAGGTTAGTGCAGAGCTTATAAGGGTTAATTTGTGGTGCCTGTTGCCATGCTGCTGAGAGCGTCTGTCAGATGCTGTAATTTCCATCTACTTTGTTTACTCAGCCCACTTGTTATCTCTGCAGCCCTTTGGGTTCTTGGTTAGGCTGTGATGAGAAAGCATTTAGCCCTTCCTGCTTCAGTGCTTGTCAATGGCTGTCCTTCTCCAAGAGCATTCCTAAAATTGAATACATTGAAAAATAAAATCAGAATTTGTTGTTCAACTTCTAGCTGATAAAAAGATTAGGGTCTGAAATTTTAACTTCACTGTTTTTCTTAATCTGTAAGACTGAGAAATTTCTGGTGGTGAGTAGGAGCAAAAAGGTTTTGTTTCTGGGTTTTGTTGGTTCATTGTTTTGGTTTTTTTTTCCCCCAGTACATCAGTAGCTCTGCTGACTGCATTTGAGAGGATTGCTACCTGTGTCTTTGTACTTGTGAAACACGCAGCGATGTTGCCTGTTCTGTGGCTTCAGTGCATGTGTGACCAGTGTAGCTGGGGCGGTTGGTGTCTGAAGTTAATTCTGCAGGCTCTCCAAAGAGGGGTAGGTTCCTGTATGAGGAATCCTCTTGGAGAAGTGAATTGGGGACATAAACACAGTGAGCTTATAGCTAAGAGCTTTCCTGCCTTTCTTTTGCTTCAAGTCTGTATCACTGGACCACTCTTGTGTGTATAAGAGCAGTGAGGTGTCTGAAAGCTAAGTCCAGGGAGGGGAGACGAGGCTGTCAGGCAAGTGGATACCGTCCCATCAGATTCCCCAGAGAACAGGTTCTCGGCATGTCCTTTGTCACGACAAGGAAAGCTGGATTTTGTGGGTATTATTTGCAGGAAGATCAGAGCAGACACTATGGGTAATGCTATCATAGTTAGCCTTCCATATACCTACGTGCCTCTGCTGCATTCTGGTCTTGCTGATCTTCTTCTGGACTACCTAGTGCCTTAACTGGCTCTGGCCTGCTTACGTGTCTCCTCTTTCCCATTCAGGACTTGCCCCTGTTGGTGATGTGGAAAGGGGCTCCAAAAGCTATCTGCGGAACCGCTACGGAGAGATCATGCCCGTATATCGGAGGAACAGCCATCGGGAGGTGCAGGCAGGCAGCCACGAGTACCCAGGCGAGGGCATCTACTTGCTGAAATTTGATAACTCGTACTCTCTCCTCCGCAATAAGACTCTGTTCTTTCACGTCTATTACACCAGCTGAAGAAAGCGGAAGGGGCAGGGATGGCAGGCAGGTAATGGTGAGTGCAGGAGGCTGCCACCCAGCCCTGGTGCTGCCTGATGGGCACTGCTGTGTGACAGAACCAAGGTGCACTTCTGCCGGCTCCTCTTCAGACACGCTGTTTCTCCCCACACCCTCCTTCCTCGCTGTCCCAGTGGAGAAAGGTAGTTGTGACTGCCTGTTATAAAACTTTGGGAGGTCTGCTCTGTGCAGGCATCGGTCTGGGCCTTCTTGTCACAGCCAGTAAATGCCCAGAGGCCAGGTTCAGGTGGTCATGGTTTCAATCTGTTGTGCTGGTACAAAATGAAGTGAAAATATTCTTGATCTGTTACTATTTTGCGAATAACTTGTCCGACTCTCCTGCTGCACCTGCATCACTAGAGGGCAGCTGTCAGCTGCAGTGAGCCAAAAGCACAGCTGGTTTGTCACCTAGCCACTGGTAATCTCATCAGCTGCCACCACTACCTCGTGCCGCGCGCAAGCCCCGGCGGCAGCTGCTGGGCCCCGCTACAGAGGCGGGCCCCAAACGGCACTCACGGCATGTGTTTCAACAGGAGGGGGCACACCTAGAAGTCTATAAACCTTTTCCTACAGAGTAACAATTGGGTGTTATACCTGTTGATTGTAGGGATATGTAGATGATTAAAACTTCAGTGATGACCAAAAGTTTTTTCAGTAGTCCAGATGTGAAGCAGAAGAAATTACTTACTGCTGTGCTGAATAAATACAGAAAGGTTGGAGTACAACCAATAAATATACAGGAGATGTTTCTTAGTAGCAGCGTGTTGGTTCACTGGTATTGCTGCCAGCTGGATAATACCATATGTAGCAAGGAAAAGGCTCCCCAGAGAGTGTAGCTTGTCTGCTGCTATTGCTGTTGCAAAGGTATTCTTAGAAAAGAACATCTCTGCTCAGAAACTTGAAAGGTGTGGGATTTAACCAATCCTTTCTGGTGCGAACCAGAATCAGCAAGGCCGTTGCTAACCCTGACTGCATGGTAAAGGATGGAGTCCCTTGGCATGTTTTGGTGGCTAGCGATGGCATTAGTGATCACCACCTGCTCAAGTACTGGCAGAGCTGAACAAGGATTGAGTTAATCCTTCAGAGATGAATTTTAAATCATCTTTATCTGTAACTGTTTATTTTAATAATTCTAACTTGAAGTCATTCTCTTTTCTAAGAATACTGCTAAATTTACATTTTGATACCTCTTTGCAGAGACACAAAATGGCTTTGCATGGTGATTCTAGTAAAGTTCTGAGTTCTGTTTTTAAATCCTTCAGGTAAAGCACTTCTACTTGGTCCGTTCCTTCTATTGAGAGGGAATGACAGACAAAATGATTTTGGGGTAGTTAAAGCCAAAGATCTCACTCTCATAGGAGGGACCCATATTTCCTCTTAAGGCTGTACTGTAATGCTGTGCAATTTGCTCTGTATTTTAACTATCTCTGCTTGCTTACTCACTGCCCCAGAGCACTTAGTAGGTCAAAACAGTAAGAGGGCGAGCAGTCAGTCTACAGTAGAGCAGCCCAAGCTGGGAGCAGGAGGAGTGGAAATGCAAAGAACACTTGTTGGAGCACAGTGGCTTTCTGGGTGAGCAGAGTTGGTCAGGGTAAGGAGCAGAGTTGTTGCTGCTTTTGGCCCAGAGATGGGGAGAAAATAGCTGCCTTTATCAAAAGAGAATGTGCACCTGGGCAGGGGGGGAGCTGCAAAGCTGCCTTATTCAAGCAGGGGCAACCACAGGACGACTTTGCAGGGAGACAGCACAGTAAGGCTTGGCATCAGAGCAAGATGCTCTTTCATCTGGCAGTTTGGGGAGGACTGTTCCTTCCATTAGCCTCTCCCGGGGGAGATGAAAGACCATCTTGTGGCCTTTGCACAGCACTTGAATCGGGTCTGAGCAACTTGGGTAAGGCATGCTCTTCTTTTTTTTTTTTCTTTTAGTCCTTTGTCTATCAAGTTCCTAGACACTAAACAGAAGAAGATAGAAAAGACCCTTCAATCTGACCACAATGTCAGCACTGCCCCACTCGATGACTGCCTGTGGTCCTTTGCTGTGAGATCCGCAGAACCCTGCGCGCGCTTGCTGGTTAATGTATCAGGCACTGCCTGGCACCCACTCCACTTCCTACCTAGGATTTATTTACAATGAAGGGAACTCTGACCTGCACATACATTAGATATTTCAGAATTACTGATCCTCAGTTGCATGGCTTATTGCAGGCCCGTGGGTTATCTCCACTAAAAAACTGTTTCCCTTACGGTGGGGCCTCCCTGTTGCTAACTCGCAGCTGCTTCCCCCTCCTGTCTGTCTGTTGCTCATACGAAGGTTCGAAATACATTTTGTCATGTTGTAGGAAGTTAACAAGGCCTGCCTCACAACCAGTTTTGATCACTCACTGACACATGTATAGCGTGTGCCAGTTTTCAAGCGGTTAGTTAGTGGTTTTAGTTAAGATAAGTTGCACTGTAGATGGTAATCTTATTGCTCAGTTCTAGCTTTCTGAAGTGTGGACCAACCTTTAATAAGGCTCAGGTCACTTGTTTGGAAGTGTGCACATCTCCTAGTCTCGCTGACTTCAGCCCAACAGCAGCACTCAATATGGTATGTCATCCCAATCGGCATGTGCCTGGTCTGCAAAGGCAGGGTGCCCCAGACAGGCCTGCTGCAGCGGAACTGAAAGCGTTCCGTTTCCCAGAAGTATCTCTTATGAACGCAAGATAGCTTTAGGCACAAAATATTTCATCTGCAGGAAACAGAAGCTTCACAGTTGTATAGGATAATTCCTCTTTTTGTTCATTTTTTTTAATTTCCACATTACATGAGTATGTTGTTTCTCAGGTATTCAGATAGCATTCATTATCCAAGTGACAATATCTCTCTCGAAGGAGATACAGTCTTTATTCATTTTCTGATAAATCCAATAGCTGGGCTGTGTGGCTAGTGATTAACAACAGTCATTTCCACTCAAAATCGAACCCATAGTTGATTCAAAGAAGTAATCTTATTTCTCATACATCCTTTTTTTTTTTCAGTTTGGTGTATCTCCTGGATTTGTATCCAATCCTGCTATCTGGCTGCGAGGCAACCTTTATTATTTTCATTGGAGACCTTTGAAACTAGACTTTGGGTCCAGAAAGAAAAATGAATTAAAAAGGTAGTTGCACCTCAGAGAGGGAAATTAATGCTTGAGAAAGGAAAATTTCTTCTTTGTTTCTGTGGAAGGAAGATTTCAGATAGGTTTTTAAAACGTGTTTGGGTTTGCTTTTATAAAAGCACAAAATTGTTTTCCATTTTTTTGAATATAATTTAGATCTAGAAGTAAGATTTACATGTTCAGCCAGAGATACAAGACAGTCCTGCAGCGCAGGATTTGTATAAAAAGTAGATTGTAGAATTATTTATAATAATGGTAATAATGTCTTGGGCACTTTTTTAATGTTAAAGAAGGTCATAAGCTGTCCATTCTTTTCTATTTTATTCCCTTCAGGTATAATGCAGCAGCATGAGTTTGTGTAATGCACGTGTTTTACTGAGGACAGAGTTAAAATTGCTTAAATCGGGGACCACTTGTATGATTTAATTTACTCACAAACTCTTTGGAGGCCTGTAATATGGGTTCTTGTGAAAGGTTATTGGTGTCAGACATAGGCTAGCTGCAAACTAAGGCTTGGGACCCATTTAATAGTTATGTAGATTATTACTGATAATGAGCTGTTTACATGAACAGAGAAGATGAAAATGCATGAGAGAAAGAGCTTAGTTGTCTGACTTCAGGTGCTAAGAAGAAAGTCGAGTTACTGTGCAACTGAGTCTCTTGCCGCCCTGCTCTAAATGGTGACAACAGCCACACGCTTTTCTTTTTGGCTCTACCCTGTGCGCTGGTCTCCTTGTAACTGTGTGTGCAGGTAACCTTCATCTGTGGCCGGCAGTGGGTCAGTTATCGCAGTGCTGGACCTGGTGAGGGAGGTTAGAGGTGAACCTTGCCACAGGTCTAGTTGCTAAAAGACTCACTCATTCTTGTGGGGAATTAGGGTAGAGAATGAATCCCTAAGTGAGTTAACTTTTATACCTGCTGCTTCTACCCTTCCTTCATGTCTCACTACCCCTACTAAAGCCCCTCTACAGAGGATTTATCACAAGGTGCCTTAGGAACAAGGAGCACATCTGAAATAAGAGCCATAGTTGTCGTTAATCCAAGGGATTTCTTCTCCTTGTTTCTCTGCCCCTTTGGGTAGAGGGGAGGCACTGTTCGTTAGACTGCCTTGTTGCTATAAGACGAGTAGTGGAATGGTGTTTGAGTTTCCTGGTGCCATGAGATCTTTGCCTTTTACAATCACATGCTGCTGTCAGGTATCGAGGAACACCACAGGACGACTACTTTTCATATGCTGATGCTAAACCTGAGGATCAGGGGAGCACCAGACAGACATAGAAGAGCCTTCCTTGTGGCTATCCATCATTTTCTCTAAAAAGAGTGGCTGAATCCAGCATTGTAAGTGGTGTGTGCTTATGTGTATTGAGGCTGTATAAGAGACTGTAGTGGTTTAGCTTCAGCTGGTAACAAAGAACCACGCAGTTGCTCTCTCGCTCCTCCCTGCCCCCAGTGGGATGGGGAGAAGAATCAGAAGGAAAAGGCAAAACTCATGGGTTGAGATAAAAACAGTTTAACAGAACAGCAAAGGGAGAAGAAAATAACAATAACACTGACAAAAAGAATACACAGCATGCAATGTTCTCACCGCCTGGTGCTCAGCCTGCTCCCGAGTAGCAAATCCCCCATGCTTCAGCCAGCTCTCCCACTTAAATACTGAGCATGACATCACATGGTCTAGAATGTCCCATCTGACTGGCTGGCTGGTTTGGGTCAGCCCAACCGGCTTGTTGTGAAAATGAACCCTATCCCAGCTCAGCCCAGGACAGAGACCAAAGCAACAGAGTTTTGTGGGTGGTGTTTGTTTTTTTTCCTTGATGTACAAGTATGAAAGAAAAGACTCCTTTTCTCATATCTGGGAAAATATTGGATACGACAGTGGTCATGTCGATGTAGCAGAACATTTCATCTGGTAGAATGAAAAGCTGGAAACTAATCATGTTAAATACATTGGCTAATTAGACTGTGAAAAAAGCCAGGAGTTTAGCAGGAGTCGAAGTGCTAAGTCATTTATCCAAATAAGGTGATTTGTAGTAAATACCAACTAAATAAAAGTTTTAGAAGGTACATAAAACTGCAGAGTTCAAATACATCTTGCTAGGAGGAGAATTTTCTGTGGGGTTATTCCACGTTTGCCTCTGAAGAGTCTCTGGCAACTTATTCTGAAACACTGGTGCTGATGCAGCTGAAGGCACCGTATCAGGCTGGGTGGACGGTGGGTCCGAGTTCACTTTCTGTTCTGGATTTTACATGTTGCTTTCTCAGAAGCTTCATCACAATAAATGTACCCTTTATCAGGCAGGGAGAGAAGGATTTTGTGATCCATCAGTGGGGCTTATCTGGTTTAGGCTCGTCTGGACTGGTGAGTCAAGTCCCTTGGGCAAAACGCTGGATGCCAACCATTAAGCTCAGAGCTAAGGAGGCTTTGCCAAGTAATGACCTTGATGTTTAGGAGCTGCATTTGGAAATTATAAATAGCTGGAAATGGTCTCCCTGCAACTTCCAGGATCCACTGGTGACTATCTGTGCTCCTCGGAGGGAAGCGTCTGCTCTCAACTCACTGCTCCAAGCTGCTGGCACAGTCGTTCAATGGGGAGAATCTTGTAGCTGGTCGTACCTTTTTCAGACCTGTATTCTTGTGAACTGTGATGGTTGTCTGTCAGTCCTTATCTATGCGATGTGAATGTTTGTCCTGTGATTTCAGAATTGAGTTCTCGGTGCCAACTGTTTGGTTTATGTGTCCTCCCAACATAGGAGTTTTAAATGGAGGAAAGGATATTTTAGCAAAACGTGGCACTGAAGCTCTTGCTGAAGGGCACATATGAAGACTATATTTATAGTGTGCTTGCATTCCTTCTGCACTTGCTTTGTATTGTTTATATTTGATGTATTGTGGCTGATTTGTAGTAGTATATTGGAACTTATTCCCTTTAAATAAACTTTTCACTATGCAACCAAGAACTTTGTCTTCTGTTTGAAGCAAGTGAGTGTCTTGGTATGAAAAACTGAACTACAGGCTTTTCAACAAAACAATACAATTAAACTTCATTTTATGAGCAAGGAAGGGGCAAATACTCAGATGGACTTTACAGTATACTGGACATTCTGGTTGCAAATATACAGGAAAATGTTCTGTTGTTATCTAATGATTAAATTTTCTGTCTGTTAAAATGACTTGTTGGGATAGGGTTTGTTTTTTTTTTATTCTTCAAATTCTCTGTAACACTTGAGATTATACTGAATGCCTGAAGAGCTGGAGAGGAAAAAGCAGGTAGCCAAGCTCATACCATGCACATGGGTAGAGTTTGAATGCTTTACCCTCTAGTGCTTCATATTGTCACTTTTCACCTCCATTTGCAGTGATCCCCTAGAGCTAGCTGTTCTGTTACTTCACTTTCAGTCCAAAGGACTAAAAACATCAGTTGCCAGGTACTGATTAAATTATCTAGAGAAAAGTGTTTGCCCTTCATAGCTCCTCCCAGCTGCTTGCCCATCAACTTTACCTTACTGTGAGGCCTGTGTTTAGGTGGGCTGAAGGACGCACCTGCTGCTCAGGATGAGGAAGGATCCCCGCAGCCTGGGCCCTCCTTCCTGCTTGTCTCCTTACGCAGCTCGGTGGGACAAGCGCTGCAGAAGTTCGCTTGTCTCCGTTCCAGTCCTGTGCTTCCCTGGAGCACTTTTATAAAATAACTGATGGGCAGGAGCAACCACGAAGCAAGCTGAGCAAGGGGATCGATGGCTCTGCCAAGCTGAAGCCATTTGATCTCGCTTCACGGCCACGGCCGAGGAACAGCGTGCAGCTGTTGATCACCGTGCGCCGGCGGTGAATCCCTGTCCTTGTGCTCGGCTGGGGGACGCGGCCCGGAGGAGAGCCGGGCAGCTCGGCGGGGGTGTGGGGAAGCGACGGGGAGCGGCACGCCGGTCCCTGCCCACCCTTGCTCTCAGTTTTGCAGCTGGGCCGCAGCTGAACGCCCTGGCCGCGGGCTGCTCCGCGGGGGTCTCGCAGCAGGCTGTGACGGCCCTGCCTGTTTAGGAGGGCTACGAGAGGCGCGTACGGCCGCCATCGTTTAGGAGTCAGCAAAAAAACGATCCACCACCCCCCCGGAGAGCGATGCGCGGCTCGGGCCCAGCAATGAGCGTCCTCCGCTGCGCAGGCGGCGGCCCTCGCTCCCC